CTGAATATGCAGTAATTTATTAATTTAAAATTGTAACTGTAATTATCTTTGCTAAAGGTAACTTAGCAAAGTGTTGTAATTTAATTTTTTTAAAATTTATTTCATATACTACAGATAAGCTGTAGCATGCTTTACCATCTAAGTAACTGTTCGTCTATATGCAATAAAAACAATTGTAAACTCATTGCTACATTAACTTAACATCTATTAAAATCCTTGACTAATTTTAAGCAAAACAATACTTCTAGTGTGAAAAAGTTACCGTATACATTTGACTAATGTATGTTTTTAACTTTAAAATGTTATAACACATACATAATTCGTCTGACTATTATGCAATAATCTTATGATAGTGCTTATATATGTACTTAAAAATTAGTTTAATAAATGTTTATTTTATCAATTTTAAAACTGTTAATATTTTATTTTTGTTGTACCTTGCAGGTTGAAGGTGCGAACTTTGAGATTTTACATGTGATGATTTTACTGCGTGGTGACACTGAATCTCTGTAGAACAAACAGTTTTGTGTAAATTTCACCAATAACACATAGTCAATTATGTGTTAACACTGTGTTTACTGTATGTTGGCAAGATATGACAACAATGTGTTTACTGTGAAAAACTCACCAATTTCACATAGTCAACAGAGTAAACACACTGTGTTTATTGTGGGGTGACACTATGTTTACTCTATAGGGACACTGTGTTTAGTGACAATATGGAGATAGTTTGTTTATTGTGTGGTACACTATGGGAACAGTGTGTGAACAGTGTGTTAACACCGTGTTTACTGAATGTTAGCAAGTTGTGACAACAATGTGTTTCCTGTGTTTCACACTGTGAAAACCTCACCAATTTCACATAGTCCACAGAGTGAACACACTGTAAACACACTGTGTTTATTGTGTGGTGACACTATGTAAACACTATGTTCACTGTGTGGGGACAGTGTGTTAATTGTGTGGCTACACTATGGGACAGTGTGTTTACTGTGTGGGAACAATGTGATTATTGTGTGGTGATGCTAGGTTTATGTTTGGTGTCACTATGGAAACACTGTGTTTACTGTGTGCGGACAGTGTGTTAATTGTGTGGCTACACTATGGCGACATTGTGCTTATTGTGTGGTGACTGTGTGTAAACACTGTGTTTCACACAGTTCACAGTGTGAAAACCTCACCAATTTCATATAGACAATGAGTTATTCACACAGTGTACACACTGTAAACACACTGTGTACACACTGTGAACACACAGTGCACACACTGTAGTGCAGTATGTGTACACTATATGTGAACACATAGTTTTTCACATTGTGTTCACTGTGTGGTATTTTTCAAAGGGACAATTGTTTTTCTAAATAAATTGAATTGAATAAATCTATTTTTTTTATTTTAATATATTATAAAGATACATTGTCCAATGCAAAATATACATATAAAAAAAAAGAAAGAAAAAAAAATCAGAAAAAATATTAAAACAAAAATTCACTCGAAGTGTTTTCTAACCTTCTTTGGTAATTTATTTAGCACATTTCTTTACTGATAAAAAGCGCTATAAGTTTTTCCCTGGTCATTGGATTTGAATGCTGCAAGTGTTACTGGCATATTAGCGCAGGAGCAGGCAACTTCTTCACATATCCATTTATACTCCTGGGTAGAGAGAAGCAATGTAGATAAAGTGCTTTACTCAAGGACAAAAGCGAAATGCACCGCGAAGGATTGAAATCCCGACCTAGAAGGCTGGGAATCCAAACCGTTTTCACTGTGCAAAACCGCTTCAACATTTTACTATTTTTATCATTGTCCAGTATAAAAATCAGGGTACACGTTTTTAAACTCAATAATTATTAAGCACAAGTTAATAATATGTATATTAATTATAAATGAGCAAGTTAAATTCAACATATTTTTATGATTTTATACCATTTTCAGGGGATAATACATCTTTAAGGGAATGAGTATGACCAACAAGAGTTCTTACTAATCTAATTTTAAAGTTTTCAAAAAATTATATAAAATTTGCACATAGACCTAAATCTCAAAATGACGAAGAAACTCACTTAAAAAATCCAACTACTAGGCCCTAAATCACGAGATAACATGAACCTACTGCGCTTTCATATATAAATAATTTATACATTTTGCAATACTTGGAAAACATTTTTAATTCTTTGTGTGTATGTAGAATTGCTATTAAGTTATTTGAACAATTCTATCTTTGATGTTTACACAAATGTTTTCTTGACCTTGAGATTTAGCATACTAGCTTAATAGTGATACGTCAAGATATAAGAAAGCCTTGGATTACCGCAAAATCTCAGTAAATGTTGTACATTAGGGAAATTTTATTATTATATTATTAAACTACATCCGTTATCATTATTTGAAAACGCTTTTATTCAATCAATCAATGGATTTATAAGGCGCTTAATACAGCAGTCTCTATGACTTTTATTCATGAATTTTATTCATGTTCATCTTTACGGGTTGTTTACAGATATATTCACATTTTTTTCCCTAATTTTTTTTATGATGATTACCATTATTTTTCAAAAATCTTTTTCCTATTTTAAGATAGTATGATGTTTGTTATTCAGTTAAAATCGGAATACAGTACTTAATTGTTATATTTGGTGTCAAAATAAAAATCTAAAAAAATAAAAATGTTTGTATAAACATGGTTTTAGAAACTAAGATTCAAAAACTGATTGCCTTCAAATTGAGGCTGAGGCAAAATGTCAACTGAGGATTTTTTCTTTTCCTTTTTTTGTTTAAATAGAAAAACCAACAAATTTTATCTGTATCTTATGTGCCGTAGGTGCGATGTAATACTATACTCTCATTATTACAGTACGGTAATATATTGCAAAATAATTACTGTATTTCTCTTGGAAATTATATATTTGTGACATGTTGAAGATCTAGGAAATAGGAATTTTCTACTTAGATTAGTAGACACTTTTTTGTAATATGCTGCAACTATTATATAGGCCTATTTATATACTGTAAAGGGTAGAGGTCATAAGGTCTGAGCCTCGATGTCACAAAGTGATGAATTAAGAGATGGGCAGCTAACCACATTCTAAAGTTCAAATGCAGACTCATGTAGACCATGTTAAACAAAAGAGTTGTTGATCGGGCTGTAGGCAAGACATTTTTTTTTGTTTGGTTTTTTTTTCTGTAATGAAACCACACCCTTGGTACATGCGAAGTCTTCAAATCCCCCATAAAGAGCAAGGTCGCATTTAAACTTGACGGATATCCCAGTTTAGTGTTTGAGCAGGTGGAATTTATACACACTAACAACTCCCTGTACGAACAAACAAATGAAAGACAAAATAATTACACAAAAAAACATAGGCGAAGTTTGATTATGGACGAAAAGACGATAGTTTAGTGAGTTATGGGGGAAATATGTTGTTGGGTGATTGTTTTTATGTAGGAAGGGGACGATCAACACTGTTTTTACATGGCCTTATAGTGAGCAAAACCCTCATTGGTCAAACCACAGGAATCAATGCGTGACACTGTAAACAATGCAATGTGCTCAAAATCATCTAAAGCTTCAGTAAATAACGACAGTAAAGTCATTATTTTTCCCAGAATTAACTTGAAATATGGAATTATATTCACCTCGTGAGCTGCAGACTTCGATGATACTATGTTGTTAATCTTTTTTTCAGCTTTTAACTACGTTATAATGGTTTATATATTTTACATATTTCTTTTTATTTCTAATTTATTTTTACTGTGTATTATATATAATTAATCCTTGACCATAATAATAAAAAAAGAAACGGTCAGAAGGAGCTTGTGGCTATGGCTTATACTGCCTTACTGTATTATGTTTAATAATAAAGTATCCACATGGGATTCGGTTATCAGGAAATGTGTGGTGTTGTATTTTTATGACGTTTGTACAGTAATAAAAGGACACATCACGCACCTCCACCGAATTTATTTATTCATTTTTTTTCATTTCATTTTTTTAGGCACGAGCGCCAATGATATGCCAATAAGTGAACTTAAGCACTGTCCTACGTGGCATATCCATTTATCAACAGGGGACTTAATGGACCAGTACACTGGGGTAACACCCTACTCTTATCGAAGGATGTACTGGGTTTTTTAGAGTGCACACGAGCCACACTGGGCATACGGTTTAAAGTCCTTATACGAAAAGACTTGTTCCATCACCGGAACCATTGTCGAGTGAACCTTCGAACTAGCACCGATATACAGCTGAAGGTTACGTTGCCCCTGCTTAACCGCTCGGCCAATAACCCGCCAAAATATTATTTTCGTCACATACGTTTTCAGGCAGTTTTAACTGCCAGACGATAACATAGTGTCTTTGCCCCCGAGGGGACATAGACACAAAAACCAATGCTTTTGAAATCATGTGATTTAGAATTACAAAAGTTGAACTACGCTACATAATTTTTTTTTTTTTTTTAGCTATTAACTACTTTATACTGTAATTCTTTATACATATTTCTTTATCTCCAGTTTATTTTACTGTGTATTATTATATAATTAATCCTTGACCATAAGAAAAATAATGCTTCTGAAATAATCATGGGATTCAGAATAACAACATTTTAATTACGTTATATAAATTAATAATTTTAACAGAAGGAAATACCGCATTAACTACTAACTATTTTTAACAGGAGATGCTAAAAGTAATGCCGGAGCACATCTTCATTTTTTTGTTAATTAAGGACTACATAATCATAGACCAATGTAATTTATAATTTATATGCTATTATTTTTGTAATATTTTAATTTTATTTCTATTTTATTACATGTTCAATTTCGAATATTGGTATTACATTCTTTTTGCTGTCTGTTAATTACATTATAAACACATTAATATATGTGTGAATAATGTTATTAAACAGTAATTGTTTTGTTACATCGGTAAGCCTTTTAAACCACATTTTAAACCGCATTCCTTTAATAGGCTTGCATGGGCGGTGATTGTTACAGGCATGATGTTAACTTTTATCTACGTTGGAATAATTATTAACGTATTGCGATATTTGAACCGTCCGATTAATACTATAGTATCAATGAACTATGTCGATGATATGGACTTTCCTGCTGTCACGATCTGTAATTATAATCAATGGAGAGCATCGATGGTAGATCCTGAGCTTACAGATATTATCTTCTTGATGTCTTCTTCAAATACCAACTATCCAAATGAGACGACACTGGAATACCTTAAAGCTAAAGAAGATGAAATCGACGAGAAAATAGACATCTTCAACATGACTCACCAAATTGAAGATATGCTGTTGGAATGCAAATGGAATTATATCGAGACCTGTACAGTAAATGATTTTACGCGCGTGCTTACAGATTGGGGCGTGTGCTACACATTAAACAACCCACAAAACCTTAGCGAAGTACGCAGAGTTAAACAGCCCGGTAATAATTTTGGACTATCTATGCGACTTTCTATCGAGCAAAATGAATACATTCTCAGTGACAATACTGGAGCCGGACTAAGGGTATGTATTCTTTAACATAATTAATTAGAGCAAGTATCTTCTCCTAATAACATTAAACGATCTGGGAAAATAAAAATCCTATCAAAAATATTTCTTCAAAATCGAAAAGAAATTATAAAAAAAATGAAATCAATGCACAAAAAGTTTCTGGGAAGGAAAAAATACACTTAAGAAAGTTCATTCCTATTATAGAGTCGATGTAAATTTAAGTAAGTATAATGCAGATATCATCTGCTTTAATTACAAAGCTCGTTGTTATACATGGCTGCATAACGTAGTTTTATATAAATATTTGTTCTTATTTTTCATATATGTCGATTAGTTTTTTTCTTTTAAAACTTAATTTAAACATTAAAAATGTAAAGTAAAAAATACATGATAAAAAAATCATCCAAAAGAGAATTACGAAGTTAAAAAAAATAACATGAACACCAACTCGACGTCAGCGAGATTCAAACTACGACTGCAAGGACTGCCCTCCCATGGCAAAAGGGCATAACTGACAATTTGCTGTTTTGGAGATATTAAGCAAAACGTGTAATGTATTTAGCCCTAAAAAGTGTTTTAGTATTTTATTTTATGGTTAATGTATTCAAATAGACAAATAATGTCTCTTCCAGTGTAGCACACATTTTTTTCTATAAATATTGATTTTTGTGCTCAAAATGTCAGTTATGCCCTTTTACCGTGGGATTTCTGATTTAAGACAAATGTTGACAAACTTTTGCAAAAGGATATAAGTACACAGTTTAGTTCCTTTCAACGCAATTTTAAGTCAGATTATTCAAAAATAACATTCAATATATAATTTCATATGTTATTCATGTATAAACTATCAAATAAATGTACAATAACACCAAAGAAACGCATTAAATAATAAATACTAAAATTACAAACGATTAAAAACCCATGTATAGGCTAACCAAGTATACAAACAAGAAAATGGATTAACATTAGTATGCTGTTATGTATCAACAAAGCCTTTTTGGCTCAAGGTGCTAGATCGAGGACCCTGTGGGTAGGGAGCCTTATGGACTCCTAGGGGTCTGGGGCCCAGCACAAGAGCGTATAGGCGTTACGTCACTGCGTGAAGGATGCATGCGTATGCGTATATCAAATAGAACTGCTGTTTAGTTTGAATGCGCATGTGACTGTTTCTATGTGTACGTTAAACAAGAATTACAATTATTTTTTAAATTTTATGTACAAAGTAAAATAATAAATATATATTTTGTCATGTAATTACAATATAAATTATGCCTATTATTATTAATATTACTTTTATTAGCAATTGATAATAAAATTATTATACAATTATTGTTTTTTTTATATTCTAATAAAATATTTAGAAAATGTATTATATATTTAGATTTATATGAAAAGTAAGGTGTTTCTTGCTTAGTGAACACAGTTGATTCGAGTAAACTGTGCATTTATACCTTTTTGTCATGCCATTTGCTATAAATAAATGTTGTAGTTGTGCCTCTTTACCATAGGTATTTGCTAAATAATCGTTTTAGTTGTCCCTCTTTTGCCACTGTTATTTCTAGTTAAAATGTGAATTGTTATTCTGCCATGGTTAATTATTTTTTTATTAAACAGTTACTATTTTCCCATAGTTTGTATTCATAGTATTAAACTGTTGCCATTTATAGTAAGGCAAGATTATATAGTATAAATTAACTAAAACTTACCATGTTTGCCTAACATTACCTAGACATATGCTACTGTCAAGAAGCATACTATTTAATATTGACTATCTTAATTGATCTTAATAATGATAATGACTTATTTTAAATTTAATTCAGGTTTTCTATTTTGTAAATTGAATCCCCAATTCAGCCTCTGGCTGCTAAGGATTTGATATTGTAGTTGTTTTGTTTTGAATTTATGAATAAAGATACCGATATATATTTAACCAATTTCTATTTACAAATTGTGAGTACACAAACAGTAAGAATAATAAAAATAATAAAACTTAACATGCAACCTTCATTGTAACCAGGGAGAAAGCTCTCTTCTGATTGGTTGGCTGTTGAAAGAACGTCACGCTTCAGCGTATCACAGCCTATCTTTGCAGTTTGCCCTTTTGCCTTGGGAATTTACTAAAAATTGTGTATTTACGCCCTTTTGCCATGCCCCTATCTAGCCTGGGGGATACTTTCTTACAATTTTTTTGTGTAAATGTGCAACACGATGTACTGACCCCACTAGGCTATATAACTCATTTTCGCCAAAAATGTCAGTTACGCCCTTTTGCCATGTGTGTGTGTGTGTGGGGGGGGGGGCAGAATAGCTACGGTGATGTGAATCCTCAACCTTGCAGAGAATCGTGCATTGTAGTTTATCTACCTTGTGTAATGTTATAAGTCGAGGGCGAAAATCATTCTTGTAGTTTAGGGAAATGTTGTGGTTAACATAACAGTAGCTAGTTTAAAACGGTTTAGGAAACTCAATTTGCGTTAAATTAGAAGTTGATTCATTTTATGAATAGTCAAAACATGTATAATTACGTTATGTTTCAATATGCATATATTTCATATTTTCATATTATCTGTGCTTAGACAAAGTTCAAAAGATCTAAATAAGGAAATTGACCATAAGTGCCTCCCAGGTAACTCCAGTGCAAACACATAAGAAAAGAGGATAGACGAAAAATCAATATAGTGAATTACCGGTATATCTTAAATACAATGTAATATAATGAAACATAATGTTATATAATGTAAAAATGTAATATAGTATCGTCAAATAAATAATAACAATTTTCATCACGACATAAATCAAAACCTACATAAAAAAAGTAAGTATTATTTTAAAATTGAATTTTATAAAGCTGAGTGTATACTATAATTGAATACGTTGCAGAAATAACATACATCATTACAGGCATGTTTTTTTTATACTATTAATAGATTTTGGTTCACCAACAAGGGCAGCTACCACTATTAAAATCTCTCGGATTTTCCGTCTCGCCAGGTTTCGAATCATACGTTGGAATGAGAAATACAAAGGTAACTATATTTAATGGGCCGGGAATTTCACAGATATCATTAAGTTTGACAAGAAATTCAGATGTAAATCTACATTAAACAAAACGATAACAGTTATTAACTTTTCTCGAGGGCATAGGGAATCAACAGTTCTCAGAGTGCAATAGGATTTATAGGATAAGTAGAGGTTAACGGAGATTTACACGCAATAGAATTCTCATAATAGGCCTACTACGGAAACCTTCATGTCAAGTAGAAAATGTATATAGGCCTGTTAGTTGTTTACATAGAAATATAATAAGAATACTAGAGCGCTAACAGCAATGTATTCGATGTTCGAAATACGCAGAGCTGTGTGTGTGTACCATCCAAGATGGCTGCCATAGATTCAGCCAATCAAATTTCCCCTGAGCACTATCATTTTCAATTGCGCCCTCAATTTACACAGAAAGTTCAGTACAGCTAGTTACCCGTATTTTGAAACTCGAGCGTTGCGGTGTATGGGTGTAATGTACACGATTTTAATTCTTTTTAATATTTGAATAAGATGCTCTACTTGGCCTCTTTTTGGCTACGACAGTTTAATAATTTGTCATTATCAATACTAATTATCATTAATGAAATAATATTCAGTCAGAGGGCTTATTAATGGTAATAATATGTATACTAAGCCTGAAGGTGGCGCTTTCCTACGGCAGCCATCTTGGATGGTACACATACACAACTCTGAATTGCTCCGCCATCTTGTCAGCACTCTAGTTGATTAATAGCTCTATGGTTGTTTAACACAATTCCGTATGCTGTCAAAATAACAATTATTGTACAGATGGAAAGAGGCTAGGCCAAACAAAAAAAAAATAAATAAAAAAGAAATAAAACAGGAGTTAAATTTCATTCACATCTGTTCCATTAAAGTTTCGTGAAACAGTTGCGTTCACCGGTCCGTCTTCCGTTTCGCGTAAAAGTATTTAAATTTATTCCGTTGGAACGCTAAGAACACCGTCGAACAGGTCAGTCAATCTAATACTATTTTATACCATAATGGCAGGTGTTTCTGGATGGCCTTCTTCTTCAGATGATAGCGATGAAGACATCGTTCTTGCCGTTATAATTAGCAATAAATCGGAAAAAAAAGAGAAGAAAAGTTTGCTGTGAAAGAAAGGAGTTCGGGCAATTTGAAACCTTAGTGAAGCGAAATCTGTCTACTGATGAAGATAATTTTTTCAACTACTTTAGGATGACCCCACATCAATATGGTACAGTTCTGAGTTCAGTTAAAGATGACATAAAGAAATGTGACAGACGGTTTAGAAAGAGTATTTCGGCAGAAGAACGTTTATCGATTTGCCTCAGATAATGATAAGAAAGTATATGTATTATCACCTTTAAAAATAGCCTCTATGTTTATTAAATCCAAAGACAGTAGTAAAATGTCTCTGAAAAGTAGTAGGGTCCAAGTAGACTTATTTATTCATATGTAAATTTCCGTTACGATTAAAACCGAAACTGTATAGGGTTTGGTCTACTTGTGTATGCTCGTTGATAGTAATTACTGTATTTAACATATTATTTAACAATAATATTATTTTATTATCTGTTAATACAGTATAACAATTAAATTGTATTAAAGGTTTATGAATGACAATACAATAATATCATGGTTTATTATAGGCATCTTGCTACTGGGAATTCGTACCCAACGATGTACTTCGCCTACCGTGTTGGCAAATCAACCATTTGTACCATAATATCGGTGGTCTGCCAGGCAATATGGAAGAACCTAAAGGAGGAATATATACCCATACCATCACGGGCCAAATGGGAAGAGATCGCGGAAGAATTTGACCGAAGATGGATCTTCCCCCATTGCATTGGGGCATTTGACGGAAAGCATGTGCAAATAGTGGCTCCTGACAATTCAGGGTCATTGTTTTATAACTACAAGTCTACACATTCTGTGGTATTGATGGCACTTGTAGATGCAAATTATTGCTTTTCCTTTATCGACGTTGGAAATTATGGATTTAACAGTGACGGTGGAACTTTTGCCAGATGCCAACTTAACACAGCCATGATAAATGATAATTTGGATATACCGGAGGACAAAAATTTACCAGGTTCCCCAGAGCTGGGACCCATGCCATACGTGATAGTGGGGGATGAGGTATTTCCATTAAAGGAAAATATTATGAGACCTTATCTAGGAAAAGACCTTTACGACACCAAACGTTTATTCAATTATAGACTTTCAAGGGCCCGAAGGATTTCTGAGAACGTCTTCGGGCAGCTAGTCGCTAAAATCCGAATCTTTTTCAAGGTCATTAACATGCATCCAAAAAACGTTGATCATGTTATCAAAGCTGCTTGTGTGCTTCACAATTTCATCAAAAAAACATCGGACAAAAGAACCCTCCCAGTTGAAGACCTGGAACTCGCTCAGTGTGAAGGACTGAAACCACTCCAGCAAATGGGAAACCATGCAGGAAGGGGTGCAATAGAAATTCGGGATGCATTTAAAGATTACTTTAACTCCCAAATGGTCAGTTTGCATGGCAAAGACAAGTTGTTTTGGTCACGCCTGTATCTCAGATGTATTAAAAAGCATAACAACATATACATTAATGATAAATTTGCATTTATTGTATTCTTATGTCCCTGCCACCTTCTCCAGTGTGAACTGAACATACACAACTAATCTCTTGCATAGTAGTATGGCATATTATTTAGCATGACAAAAATGGTGTGAGCTTTAAATAACTTATAATTTATGTACATATTATGGTTGTATAAGGCAGATGCAAATTAATTAGTGCATATCACTAACTTTCTTAAATATGCAACATAGTTTAACATGTATTGTAGTCAACCTATTGATGCTGATATTAATAAAAAATACTCACAATCAAGTCCAAATATCCGACTTTTTCTTGTCATTTTTATAGTCTGCATTTGACTTGTCGTACAATACGGGATCTGTCTCTTATACACATCTAGATGTGTATAAGAGACAGGTTTAATGTTCTGTAAATAAATAAAGAAATTGTGTAATAAAATGCCTCTGGCGGGACTCGAACCTGCGACCTCTCGCTGTCAAGGCGAGTGTCATAACCACTAGACCACGGAGGCTTCATGGTTGAACAGATTCAAATACCACCAGATACACTCTATTACACAATAGTTACGGCTAGACAAATAGGTGCCATATAATATAAATCAAGGTAGCCGTTAACATTGTTAAATCATATATAAATCATCATGTAGTCCTGTAAAAATAACCAAATAACCGTCGAGAACATTGTATTACACAATGCTACGCCTCAAGAGGGCGTTCGGCCAGATAAATCGTGCAATACGGCTATAAATACTACAGGGTAGCCTACGATGTTACATCATGTCCTTATTTAAACACTGTACATGTACCTTTGCCGATTTATATTATATTTATTCAACAGTGTTAACCGCTAACTCGCTTCAATATCATATATAATATACGACAGCTTTTTGTAATTTTATATTTGCTATACTAACTGAAATATTGGTTGAATCTTTGTATACATGCATAATAATCAGTGTTGTTGCTATGAGGTCCATATTAGTCATTAAACATTTGTTTTTTTTTGTGTAAAGCACATGATGGTTTTTAATTATGCATTATATAAGTAGAACTTTAATAATAATAATAATAACAACAACAATAATAATAATAGTATTAATAATAACAAATATAATAATCATAATAAATAATAATTTAATAAATAATGATAATGTATAGCAAATATTGCACATTGACCTTATGTGCATTGCACATAAATTATAAAGGGCTAACATAATAATAGTAAAAGCCTAGGCCCAGCCTAGATGCAGACTTACTCTCTGTGTGCTAAATGCACCTGCAGGAAACCAAGATGGTCCACCCATTTATATTTTTTCCTTGGTTTTGCGGCCTGTCCACTATTTGTTACGACAGAATCTTTCCACTTCTTATACGAGTCACGTATGCTTTCAAATTTTGTTTTGGCAACAGAATCTGAAAATGATGTTAATCAATCTATTAATTTCAAATATAGCCTAAATAAACGACCATCTGTAAGACGTATCTTACTGTATACACATCTAAAATCATAAAACTGGCCAAATGTATCATATGGATTTGAGAACAAATGTTGACACAAATAAATAGACTAGGCCTAGGCTAGTTTCAATGTAATTTTAAAATATTTTTGGATTTGGGCCGACAGTAGCTAGTCCTAGACCTAGCCTCGGCGCAATGCACTTTAGTACACACTAACCCTAACCTTAACCTCAACATCAACTGCACTCTTGCTATGTTATTGTTATAGTTATAGTTAGGGTGGAGTACTAAAATGTATTAGCGTCCTAGCCTCTAGGCTACCTACTAATCCTGGCCTAGCCGAGGCCCAGGTACTACTCTAGCTGAGGCATCGGCCTACCTGCAACCTCCGCCTAGCATGCCTAGAGATGCTGATATTAATAAAAGATACTCACAATGAAGTCCAACTTCTCCGGCTATAGCCCTCCAAATATCCGACCTTTTCTTGTCATTTTTATAGTCTGAATTTGACTTGTCGTATAATACAGGATTACCTTCGATTAAGAAAAGTAACTTTTCAATTTTTAAATCATACTCAGAATTAATACTCTTCGGCTGCTGCTCTTCGAAAAGTTGATGTGCGAGGGCGGGAAAAAATTAATGAAATTATGCAAATAAGGTCAAGAAGATAATGCAGCTGATTGGTTAAATTTAAATGTAAACCGGAATATATTCCGTCCCGTTTCAATCGGTCTCTGATTGATCCGTCTCCGTCCGTTTTTTATGATAACCGTTTGTTTTTTCACGGAACGGACTTAGTGCGAATGCTTTCATTCTTCAACATAGTTTCAATTTTTTTCACGGAACGGACACCTATTCCGTTCTGCGTAACGGAACAGGTGTGATTGAAGCTTTACGCTACTAGCCTAATATAATGGAGTTTTTTTTTCGAACCAGTCTGAAGTGTTTAAAAAATTATATATTTTGAAAGAGATCATCAATTGTTTGAAATAAACTTCTATACAAACATATATTCCACGATAAAAGTTGGAGTAAAATATAATTTTAAAGTGGACAAATTTTAGTAAACACATATTTTTTTTCTTTTTTTCTTTTTTTTATATTTTAAGGTGGAGAATCTCGAGCACCCATACAAATCAAATTGTAGAAAACAGCCTTTGAAGTACGCACAATATTACACTGTGCAGGCCTGCAACTATGAGTGTTACGTTGATTACGTTATTGAAAAATGCGGCTGTCGAGATTACCGAATGCCTGGTATAACAAATTTTCATTTCATTTTATTATTTGTTTTTGTCTGATAAAAGTAAAATACACAATCTGAAAAGTGGAGAGACCAGGGCCATCCAATCACCCTAGCACTGCTGGTGGGCTGATTTTTTCTTGTTATAGATAAGGCAGAGTCGACTGAGGGAGCGATCTGCTATCATGAATAACCATTGTATAATTATAATTATGTCGTGCATAGTTTAAGGACGTCGTGCACTATTTGAGCCTTGCACAGTTTATAAACTAGTGCATGGAAATATTGCACAGTTTGCAATTTGCAAACAATTTGCAATTTTGTTAACGATGATGTTCGGTGAGACGTTAATTACTAACAGTGCGATTGTTTGGTTGGCTAGATAGGCCGAGATGTAATTCATAATTTAAAAACTACCCTTATCAGTTTGTGTATCATTTAGTGAAAACTAACTAGTCATTGTTGATTTAGCACCATTTAAGTTAACAAAAAATAAGAAAAGTAATTAACTGAATCATAAATCAACAACCATCAATCAATGAATCAACCAATTAGTCAGTAAATCAAGTCAACCAATGAATGAATCAATCAACCAATCAACCATCAATTAATAAATTATGCAATTGATAACTCAGTCAGACAAACAACCAATCAATTGAACACTCAATCAACTAATCAATTAATTATTGACCAATTATTAAATACATCACTAACATTTTATTAGGTCTTTTAATATTATGCCGTTAATAAAACCACTTTAATTTGTATCTAGCTTAATATTATTATTATATATTTTTATTATTCTTTATATCATATTATTCTTTTGCAGGTGACGTGCGAAGATGTAGCCCATACGAATCAATAACTTGTATTAATAACGCTTCAAGTAAGCATGTATCTTAATGTATTGTTTAAAATTGTTTATATGGGCAGAGTTATCTAGAATTTGTATGTATTATACAGTAATTGAGTAGCAGCTCAAAGTATTACTATTATTATTATTATTAATATTATTTTTTTATTATTATTGTTTACATTATTATTATTATTATTATTATTATTATTATTATTATTATTGTTGTTGTTGTTGTCGTCGTCGTCATCATCATCTTCATCATCATCATTTTTTGGTTATTTTAATTATATCAATACTATTTTAAATTCAATTGTCAATAGATGTGAGTACAAAATATTTTAGCAGCAGTTATACTGAAAATTTTGGTGCTCATTGCGCGCCCTCTAGTTTGTAGTAGCATTATATTTATATATCAAAGATCTTATAAACACAAGATAGCGTTCTCCGGGATTTACGCGTGCAAATTCTGTAATAAGGCATGAATGGCGCCCTCTTGCTAAATTGGAAACTTTTGACCCTTGAGTATTACTTTTTCTCTTCGGTAATAGCGCATGAATGGCGCCCTCTTGCTAAATGGGAAACTTTTGAACCTTGACCGACGCTTCTATTTGTTACGCGTAAATCGCGGAGAACGCTATCTTGTGTTTATAAGATCTTTGATATATATATAATTGTGTTTCAACGAAACCCGGAGAGTCGGACCTCTTGCAGTTCTAATCTTTGATAGTACAGTAAGAAGCATAAACATGTATTTGTGTTTGAATAACTTGGCATTAGTTTAATATTCTGACAGACATAATTTCTCCGAGTTATCGCCATTTTTGACTCAGGATAGACGTCGGCATCCTTATTGAGCTTGTAAAATATCTCTATCCTAAATAGGCCTAAAATATTCCTATTTAAACTTCACTTTCTTTAATCTATTAGAGTTAACTGATTCATGGAATTTCTTTAATTAAATTTGAACAGATATTCTTTGAGATCCAATTTACCTTGTTCTACGGATATTGTTTTCTATTACCACTTGTCGATAAACGACGATGGGCACGTGTCAGTCTTCTTCTCCCCTAGTTCAGGTGTTATACACTAGCCTAGAATATTCGTTGCATTGTGCGATCATTACCCTCGCCGAAGGAGAGGCGAAAAGTATTGCAATAGCACCTGTCTGTCTGTGGTTTTTCTGACCTTCTGGTCGCAAAACTCAAAATTTACTGAACCGAATAACCTTAAATTCTAAGACATTGGCAATATTACATGTATCTCGGTCCTCCTTGATGCTGAGCGGAATTAAGATGCAGATTTTATAAGGTTATCCATTTTTCATTCGAGTCGTTTGGCTAGACAAGGTTGACTCGAGCGGATCGACAGTGGACCGACTCGAGCGGACCACGTGTTAAATTCTGGAAGCAGTCCTGAGGCCTACCATATCGTAACTCGTTTGACGGATAGATTGGAATAATAACATATTAAAAAGTGTATTCTATAAATGCAAAATAATACATACAGTCGATTAACTTTACATATAATAAGTGCACCTTTCCTGCTCGGCTACACTTCACCTGATAAGTATGTACTGTTAGTAATATTACACCCCTATAATAAAACAACTTGTCGACTATATAGATATGGCTCAACAAAGGACGAGGGTTTGTAATCTGAGATTAACTTGTTTGCTCACGAGCCAAAAAATAAAAAGTCAAGCAAACCTTACACTAATAAAAGTTAATTAGTGCAAGATTTGGGATAGGAAAACAGCACTGGGAGTTACAGGGATGGTGTCATGATTGACTAAAATTAATTTTATATTTCTAGAAGATTTTATTCACGAGGATTGGCAGTGTGACTGTCCAACAGCATGCACAGCTAACATGTATGATATAAGGGTTTCGTCAACGTACTGGCCATCGACATACGTTACAAATCTTTATCTAACGCCAAGGGGAATATCGGAGTCTGAGGCAAGGTAAATTAGCAAGAGACTGCGAAGAATGTTACGATATAATTGTATTACAGATATGTGTAGGCTTATGAATCAGAGTGAAATCGATGGTGTATTTTGCGTAGGTTATCCCAATGTCTCTATGAATGTTTCTTCGAATATAGGTACGTAAAATAGAGAATATTTTTTAGAATTTGCAAAACAATGGTTTGATTACCTCAAATGAATATTACCTGTCATGATCTTACCAATAAACACATTTGCCAGACAGACTAAAGGGATACAATATTAAGTTCACCATAAATACACACTCTTTAAACTATTGTTTTTATCCTTGCTATTCAGTTTGGGATCGCTGCAATGGAAATATCACAAAATAAGTCCGTATTTATATTTTCAATAATGAAGCCAGAAAGAAGGATTATCAATAACAATAACAACCATAAAATGTAATTTGATTAATTAGTACAGGATAATCATAAGGAATCCGCTATCTTGAAAACCGCAGAAATGTATTATCTATGGCTCTACATAAGCTATGGACAAACAGGATGTCAGTTTCTATAAATTTGCTTTACCAGTATAATTACATGACTACTAAAGAGGTTTTGAGGTCCACCTGCAAAATGGATCAAGATGGCTGCTGTCCATTTGTTTTAATATGTCCAATTTAATATAGGCCTATTTGGAACTCGATAAGCTAGAAGGACAAATATGGTGCAATATCCCCCTAAATTTGCCATTAACAAACTGGAATGGTTATTGTAGAGTTTTAAAATCATACTGACGTATATATTCAAGATGGAAACTGTCCACCAATTTTGCTTTAACAATACACTGATATGGCTATTGAAGTCCAACTGCTGTTAGCCATCTTTAAAATATTCAAAACTGTAATATTTCTGGCACTAAACGAGATAGAAGGGCGTAATAAAATGTAGTTTCCTTTAAATGTTGACATTAACAATACACTAGAAAATGGTATTTAATGTTGCTTATAACCTATAAATGCAAGATGCGAGAAAACCTATCTTGAAATTTCTGATATAATTTACCTTAAAATCTTGTCTTTTCGGGATAAACTATCCTGGCTTCCCAACGTAAGATGTCTTATTCCGTCGGTGTGACAAAATTTGTTTTGAATTTGTATTTTTCTGATAAAAAAAAACTATACCTTAGAATTCCTTGTTTTTACCTAATTAAACTTGAAATTCAATATTCCGAGCTGAGACAACTATATATAAGTTGTTGTTGTAAAGATTGATAAATCCTCCTTAAATTTTATCTTTTAGAGACAAAATACATTGGTAATGTGTTTTTCTTTTCCAAGATAGAATATCAATAAATCATTAATTATCATTCCTCGTTCCAAAATAAAAAACAAAAAACAAACAAACAAACAAAACAAAACAAAAACAAAAACTTTGTCGGAATTTTCCTTATGTTGAAATAAGCTATCTTGTGAATACTTTTTTTTCCCAATATAATTCATCTTGGAATTCCATCTCTTAAGATTTCGTCTTTCCGATATAGATTATCTAAATATCCCACATTAAGGATAAAGCATTTAAAGTTTTGTCTCCAAGAGAAAATATGTTAGAAATCTATCTTTTCAAAGATGTTATCTTTGAATTTGGTCTTTCCAAAATACATTTTTTTTAGAATTTTGTCTTTCCGAGATAAAATTGAAATACTATTCAAGATACTTTATTTCAAAATTATTTTTTTCTGAGAATGAGATGATCATCTTGAAAAAATTGTCTTACAACAATATTACAGCATTCTGTAGTGTTTATTTTAAATAAGTTATGTAGAAAATCTGCCCTTCAGTAATAGCTTTTCCTGTAATACGTCCTTTGGCGATATCTTGGAAACATGGCCTATTATTACCGTTATTCCTCACTTTATAAGTAAGTTCATGCCTGTGAGCAATTCAGCCTAGTTCAAAGCTGCAAGTCACAAGACTCACAATTCTTTATCTTAAAGGTAATTTGTTTTCAGTTGCAAATGTCTTTATAAAACTATTTTTTTGAGGACGGTAGCAATATCATACTTTAGATTATTAATCTTATATATATGGTAATAATTGCAGTATTTGGCCCTGGGTTTCGCAGGCTGATGATACACCAGGGGCAGTTCAGGAGAGGGTGATGGTCGCCAACGTTTTGACCCCACCCAACCCCAAATAGTTTTTTAGAGGGCAACAAAATCTACAGATTTGCTAAGTAGTCAGCAGCTTGTTTTGATTTCATTCTCAAAATGAGGGTGACAAGACAGATGACGGTTCCCCACGCCATTTACACCTATTTCATTTTCACAGATATGCCCTAGTACCACAGAGCCTCACAGGCGGTCTTTTTGAGAGCATCTATAAAACAAACTTTACTCTTAAACTATAACTTCACCTATTCCCAGATGTAACTCGAGTTAAACTTACATTCGTAAAGGCATGCAAGCTTCGGCTAAACGAATTCTAGTTGCAGTACAGCTTCAAACGAAGGGAAAGCACATGCTATAAATAAAACTAACCAAACAATGCGTATGATTTATTCATGTTAGTATATCAAACTTGATGCTATCATCAATATTGATGAGAGGCCGGCACAATATTTAATTAACTCATAAGCCATGAAAGACATATAATAACAGGACCAAGTTTAAAACTCACCAACCGTACAAGCCTGGGTAACTAAGCACGACCGTCCTGAGAATTGGAGAATGGTAAGCGTGTTGTTCGAATCCTCAACAAACTGTCTTCCGCTATTAAATATAGTGGAGCGCTTTATTTATCCATATCTACTCGAAATATACCTATTTATTGAATATCAAATCACTTGATATCACCCGTTCTACGACCTTTGTTCTAGCTGTAGCTAAAACATAATATTGACCTCATAATTTATGTTATTGTTTATTAATATCTGTATCGCGGTATCGTTATCTTATAGTTATGTTATTGTTATTGTTTAATATTATTTAATATAATTTATATTCATCTTATACAATTCAGCATTGTTGTTATTGAGAAGTTGCTTGATTAGATTATCCAACTACAATACTGTTGTTTGTTATTTGTATTACACAGGAAAAATTACTTGGACGTAAACATCTATTTTGAAGAGTTGAGTTTTGAGAAGGTCCAGCAGATTCCTGCATATGACATTGGAACACTTTTAGGTATTCACTGTTTTTTTACATACCGTGGTTCAGGAAAAGCAACACAATTTAAAATATAAATAATAATAATAATAATAATAATAATAATAATAATAATAATTATAATAATTATAAATGTTAAACTGATATACCGTATACTTGAGTGAGTTAATTAATTTTTATTACATTAGTATTTACATGTAGAATGCATATTCTATGCATTAATGCACACACATCGCGCAGTTACATGCGCCTATAGTAACCACGGTAAAATGCTATAAAATGTAACACTGTTACTTGTAGTCGTCAAATAGACTAATAAATTGAAAAGTCTTTGACTGACTTATAGACCACCATCTAATTCAAGACCCCTCTAATTTTGATAACAATTTTACAGTATACTACTTTTTAAATACCAATTGGTCACTTCCTTAATAAGACTAAGCCTACTTGTTTCGATTTTTTAAATAGTATAAACATAGTTTATTTCACCTCAATTCAATCCAATCATGATTATCTTATTTATTTGTTAACCTTCTGAAATCTTAAAATAATATTCTGTGCATACATTTAAAGAGGGTTCCCTGTAAATAGATATAAGTGATTCCACACAGCAAAAGCTAGTTTAGGCCTTCTGTGGCTGCACTGTTGCCCAAGAAAACAATAGCTTTATTGTAGGTTGGAATGCACAAATGAATGTTGATAACGTCCGAAACTCAACTTCGTCATTGAATTTTCGCGCAGTACCTTTAGGCTGTAACGATCAAGAGGAAATAATCATTAAGAAACTGTAGATAGCGGTAGCTTTTACTAAGAAGAAATAGGAGTTTCGAACTAAGCAATGCGCATGCGCAGTTACCAAATAACGTCCGTGAATTATCTATAAACATAGTGAGCATGCGCTTAAAAATGTTAGACAGCCAGTGAGCATGTGTATTGTGTAAGTGACATTATCGAGCCATGTCGAGCATGCGCATTTACCAAAAAGACGTCTCAGGAACCAAAGAGGGTATTATTACCAAAAAATCGTCTTAGGATCCAAACAGCGGCTGTGAAAATAATGAGAATTCGAGCGGGTCGAAAGCCTCTATTATGGCTCTCTTTAATAATAATAATAATAATAATAATAATAATAATAATAATAATAATAATAATAATAATAATATTAATTTGTTAGATTTATATAGCGCTTAATGCCAACAAAGCTTCTAAGCGCTTCACATTACTACCCCCGGTCACTGGATTGAAACCCCGACCTCAAGGTGGGGAAACCAAACCGTTCACACTGTACCAAACCACTTCTATTATTATTATCATTATCATTATTATTATTATTATTATTATTATTATTATTATTATTATTATTATTATTATTATTATTATTATTCCACATTTAATGTCGAAAAATATGGTGCCTTACGCTGAAGAGGGTTAGGGTAACTATTATCGAGATATCGTACGGTACCCATGTTTTATCAACCCATAAACAATAGCCGCTCACTGGCGGCAGTATTAGAAAGGCCTAGCAAAGCTAGAGGGGGAGGGGAATGGATACAAATAAATAAATAATGTGAAAATTAATATTATTATTATTATTATTAATATTAATAACAATAATGGTAAAAAATGCGGTTTGGCTCAGTCGTTTTCATTCTGGTTGTTGAACTTATAGTCAGCAGGAGTACAATCAAATACAAACAGTAACATACCTCATGGATGAAACAACGTAAAAGATTAAGAGATGAGATCGATATATATTGGGGAAGAGTGAAATTGTGCAACACAGCAGGAGAAAAAGATTGATTTGTCGTCGACATCCTGAAACATTTGTCCAGCAGTGGACCGACAATAGCTGATGATGAAGCCTCTGAAGGTTATCAACGTGGTCGAGCATTGAGTCTGGGTGACAACTTAATTATTTATGTTTCTCAAACCTGCTTAATGTTCAGCAAAATATACCAGTACATAAGCCCTATGATATTTGCTATTGTCAATATTTATGTTCTTAAGTGAATAACATTATTATAAAGTGCTTACCCAAACTTAACATGACAAAAGCATGGATAATGTATGTAAAGTTTTAAATTAATTTAGGAAGTTTAAAGATAAGAACATTGTTCCATTTATTAAGAAATATAAAGGTATAAAGATATCTCACGTGGATCTTCATTGATGTTCATCAATTTTTCTCAAACCTGTTTATTGTTCAGCAAAATATACCAGTACATAAGCCTTATGATATTTGCTATTGTCAATATGTTTAAAAACATTAACAAGTGTTAGCAAATAAATTATTACGTTATAAATATGTATGTATAAGTGTGTATTTATGAATATTATATATATATATATGCTGTCTCTTATACACATCTAGATGTGTATAAGAGACAGTTACTACC